TTATTATTATTATTATTATTATTATTATAGTTAACCTCCATGTGGTTTGACCTTGGTTTTGCCGGGTTATTTATTATTTTGACATTCCCGCACTTAAAAGAAGATATGAATCTTTTGGTCGTGTCAATATCACTCAAAAAAATTTAGATAAAACATAAAAAAGAAGGCTAGAATTCTCAATAATGTATTTATTATGAGTGTTTATAGGTAACCTAAATACAAATAAATTATATATAGATTAAAATAAAAATATTATTCTACTCTTAATAAATAAAATGAAATAAATATTATTTAATATGTATCACATTGACATTGAACAAAACTAAAATTGAAAGGGGTTAAATTAAAAAATTGAAAGGGGTTAAATTTTACAAAAAAAATATCTTTTTTCAATTAATAAAGAGAGAGAATATTAAATTATTTTCAATTAGTAAAGCGAGCTATAGAGAAAATAGATAATTATTTTCAATTAACTTTTTTTTTCCTTTCAATTTTTGAACTTGTTTTTTAAAAAATTGAAAAATTATTTAATTGATAAGTTTTTTTCTGGAAAAGCACTTATTTTCAACAAGAAGCTCGAGTTATTAGAATTGATCCCCACGAGACTCAAAATTCAGGTGCCTCTAATCTAACCTCGAAGTGTTATGAACCTAATCTCAACTATACACCTTGGAGCCTTATACTTGGCCTTGAATGGATCCTTGGTGTTCTGAGCTTAAACCTCAAACTCGACCTTACATGCCCTGATCTCCATCGCACCATGGGTGCTACAGACTTGGGTGCGACCTCAGCACTAGATAACCTATACCGGATCTTAGCCTAAATCTTGAGTGACCTAGGCCCAACTCTCAAGCAACTAGAACGTGATTTCGGCTTGAATCTTAGGTGATCGAGACTCCGCCTAGGCTTGAATATGGTCGCGATCCAAGTCCTAGATCTATCTTCGGGCACTTCAATCCTAGTAATAGCACGAATCGTGGACTCCCTGAACCTGGCTCCTAGACTTCTCAGACCCAATCTTGACTTGAATCTAGTGTGACTTGGACTTGGTCCCGACCCCAACCCTCCTTATCTGTATCATAAAATCTCTCAAACCAGGTCTCATTCTGACACCCAAGCACTTTGGAACTGATCCGACCAGAATCCTGGGGGCTTCACACTGTAATTTACTCTTATTTTAGGAGTTTGTTTTTAAAAAAAAAAAAGCTAAAAACCTTTTCCTCGCGCACAAACCTCCCGTCCTTAATTTGTCTTATTTATTCTTCTTCACGTCAAAATAATAACACAGACTTTCCTTTGCTGCTTAATTAAAAAAAAAATAAAACAAATCCAAGGAAGGAAGCAGACAGAAATGGAGGCATGGGTTCCTCTCTTTAACATATTCCTTAACTCCCCAACACCAGAAACTGAAGCTTCCCTCTGGTTACAACAATCTTCATCATCATCAGTTCCAATCACCACTACCTCTTTTCTCTCGTTAGTCACCAAACCCATTATCAACAACTCATCCACAAACAGGTGGAGTAAAACCCATTTTCCATTTCATGTTATCTCTTGCTTTTTCTACGATTCTCACTTTTTTTTTCTCCCTGTTAACAGCATGTGTGACAGGAGGGTCATGTTTCTACAAACACTGCCTTTTCTTGTCCAGTCCAGAATTTTGTCCTTTCTTGGTTTTGAGCATCAAAGGTTTTGCAAGCGGGAATTATCTAAGTTGGCCAGGACTTTGATGACAGGTACCGAGGGGATTGATTTCTGGGTTAAGAGGGCTGCCCGCAATCTGCTTGATAAAGTGTCTGACTCAAATTACCAATGGATTTCTGGTTTAAGCTTAAACTCTGGAGAAGAGAGAGTTGATGAGGAGTTTGGTTCAATCCCAGATTTCCTTAAAGACGCTGCTTCAAGTGCAAATGAACTGTTTCTACCTTGGTTGCCTCTCTCGCATGATACATTGAACTCCAGAGAATTGTTTGCTGGTTATGAAAGCCCAGAAGATTTCTTGAGTCAAGTTGGAGAGGGTTCTGGTGATAACTCGAAAGATGTTGCGGAGGAAATGGAGATTGATTTGGTCATGGTTGCTCCTTTAGATGAGGAAATTCAAAACATGGCAGCAAGTTTGAAAGATAGGATTATGACTTTTGAGTCTAGTTCTAAAACTGTTGAGTTAGCAAATGAAATTGGCAGACTTTGTTTTGAGAGAGAAGCAGATCCTTTTGTGATTTTGGGTTTGCTTGAACCTTGGAAAGCTGATGATGAGACTGCATCAATTCTGGTTTTTCATCTCTCTAATGGAAGAGAAGAAGAAGAAGAGATCGCTTGGCCTAGCAAAGTTTTGTGTTCAATTATGCTTCCAAAGATGTTGCTGCTTGAAGAGCCAGCATCTCGTGTACTGGTGATTTCAATTGCAGAGTACTGCAAGCTTCACCAGAGAGCTGCTGAATGTGCTCTATTGCTTCCGCTGATAATGAAAAAGAGTGGCATCAACAACCACATGTGTGATGTGATCACCAGGATCGTCAAGGAATCCTTGCACCCAGCTCATGTTTCAGCTTTTTGCCGGAAGCTTCTTTGTGGAGAAGAAGTTGAGAAACGATCCATCATTCTTCCTTGCCACCAATGCCTTGTATCCAGCCAACTGGTTTGGACGGAATCATTGTTTAATCTGTTTCAAAATATCTTAAATCATAACGTTCAGCTAACTCAGGATTCAGTTGATCAACTTGTATTGCTTATTAGGGAGTTGGCCCCAAGTTTCTCCAAATCTCTGAAATTCGGGAATTTTCTATTGTGTTTCATCACCAGATGTTCTTTATTATTGAAGTCTCATAAAGTTTTATTGGTTGAAGCAGTTGCGAAGACCAATACTCTTGTCACTAAATCCATATTATCAAAATTGGCTAGCTTCTAGCTATGTAATGATTTTTTTAAATGCCTTTGTTTTTTTCCGCTTTCGTGCTGTGAGATGTGATCAGTCTTAATGCGTACGGTTCCATCAAGAGAATTGATTTTGCTACCGGACAAGGTATATGTGATAAATTTAGGTCTCGTGTTTGCTATGTTTGAGAAAATGAACATTGAATTGTAAAGTGGATAACTTTTCCGGATCCAATGGTGCTCCGGCCAACTAGACAAGATAAACAAGCAACTCCTTGCAAGAAAACAAGTGGTTCAAACTGACAAATAAACACCAGTACTGAGAATTACACAAGGCAGTTTCAGACACCATTACTGCCATGTCCATTGGCTATTTTCTTCATGGCTTCAAATCTGGGACCCTTATCTGAGAACTTTGTGGTGGCATAAAGCTTCAAGTAATCTTGAAATGTGTAATTATGGGGGTACGAGAGTTTGGGAGCTGGAGAGATAATGGCATCACCAGCTGGGTTGTAGAATGTGGCAATGGAGAGTCTGCTCCCCTCCTTGCCAGCCATGACACGGTGCAGAGTACTTTTGTACCTTCCATTACTCAACACTTCCACTTGATCACCTGTGTTGACAAATATAGTATTGTTCTTGGATGGGGGGATCTTTATCCATCCTCCATCGTTTGAGAATTCAAGACCTGGGACATGTTCATCTTGGAGCAAGAGTATGATTCCGCCGGCATCGGTGTGCTCTCGAAGTCCTCTCACAAGCTCTGGCCGAGGACATTCAGGGTATTTTGCCACCTTTGTTCCCACAGAAGGACCTTTAGCTCCTGAAAACTTTTCCTTTATGTAATCCTTGTCCAGTCCAAGATTCTCAGACATGAGTTGAGAAAGCTTCTCTGCTAACTGAATCAGTTGGGCGATGTACTCATCCATTATTTGGCTGCACATAACACAGAGACGATGTCCTTATTTCAGAAGAATAATGTCTGTACGAATTGCTAGTTATAATTATATATAATCAAATCCATACCGAAGATTCTCCGAGAGGTTGTGGATTTCATTGATGTTGGATGTTGGGCGATGCCAAATAAAGAAACTGCTTTCCCAGTCTACATCACATTTATTCATCAAGCCTTTAGCTATCTCCGACTCGTAAAAGCTTTCTTTCAAGTTTTCCTCGTAGTGTGCATTCACCAATTGCTTTACCTTGTCCATCAGCTTCTTCTCGAGTCCATGGTTCTCAACCTGTAAAAATCAAATATGTATTAAGATAGCTATGTTATATCAAGTTTTTTTTTTTTTTTGAAGGATGAAAAATCCCTGTACCTGAAAGAAGCCCCATTTCTCACAAGCTTGGTGCAGAAGAGCCATGGTTTTGCTTCTGTTCTCGCCCTCGAGTTGGCTCAAATCTATCACAGGAATCTCCATCTTCTTTCTTTCTTTCTTTCTTTTTTTCTAAGCTCAGAATACCGTGAAAAACATAGATGACAAGTCTCATAAATATAGGCTCAGGTCAGAGAGAAGGGTGCGAGCAACTATAAATTAAATAATTACTATGTAAATATATGTTACAGTAAAGGCAGTCGGATTTAGAGCAACAGTGTTCACTGATTAATTTGAAGCATGTAATTTTATACACAAACTAATAAATATATTTTTTAAAAAATATTATCTTTTCGATGATCTAATACAGCCACACACACAATTTAAAAAAAAAATAATTTCAAGGTTCAAATCTATATATAAAAAAAAAATAGCAGAGTTGGTGTCTCCAAGACTATTCAAGTAATCAAGTGGAAGTCTAAATTCAATTCATCGCCACCATGTGATTCAGTCAGGTATTGACGGTCGGTCACTTGTAGACTATGCATGGCGGTGGCTGCTTTTTTTTTTTTTTTTTCGTTATCAAAAAATGGATATAATTTGTATATGTGATATTTACTGATATTATTTCATTATATGAAAATATATTAGTCGTATTTGTAAATTGTTTGCCGATAATATTATTGAACTTAATTGAGAAACACATTTTATATCCAATGATGTCTCACGTCGAAATATTATGATCGTAAAGTGGAAGAAGATTTGTATCGCAAGAGTCATGGATCCCCATTTCCTGTATTCTTTTTTCTCTTGAATTAACATGTCAACTAATATATATATATATATTGAGGAAAGTTACTTTGATTAGAATCATTCATTGGTTTGTTTTAGCAAATCTGTGGGCAGTGCAAACAACGGAGGCGAAATTATAAGATGCGATCTCATAGGTCTCCAATGGGCCATTTTATCTGTGTGCTGCTGTAGTCGTAGCATGCTGGCCTTTGTCCCCCTCTGCAACTTGTCTAGAGAGAGAGAGGACTTCCGAAACTTCAGCCCATGATTGATCTTATTTTTTCCTTCTTTTTTTATTTTAATATTTTCGAGAGAGGGATATTCATCACCTAACATCTTGGTTTTCATGCAAACAGACCATGCCACCGCAAGAAACTTGAGCTTTTTTTTCAATTTTAGCACGGTTATTTTTTTTAAAGTAACATAATTTATAAAATATTTTAAAAACCAGCATAAATGAGGAAATCAAAAATGATATTTAACTCATGAGACTCTTTAAAATTATAAAATGATCCATAAAATATTAAATTAGAAAAAGAAAAGAGAGAGAGAAAAGATATTTGAAATATGTTGAAGCTCTAAAAATAACATCATTGATATCTTTAGAAAAATATTAATAAGACAAACCTAACAATGTCAATAAAGATAACTAATGGAGACTAGAGAGGATCATACGAACTACTTAAAGATGGCAAAGCTAACTTGTATTTAGGGGCATGTATGGCTCACTATGGTCATTATTAGTGACATTTTCTAATATTGTTGGATTCATCTCGTTAAGATTTTTTTATGGCACTGATAGTGTCATCATTAAAGTTCTGATGTGCCTTTAAGGTTTTTTTTTTCTTTGTATTTTTTCTTTTCTTTCCTCATAATTTATGGAGAAACTTGAGAGAGAAAAAGAGAGAAGCGACCTCGGAATCACATCAAAGTTTCAATGACGGCACCATCAGTACCTTAAAAAAAATTTCAACAAGAAAAATCAAATGACATTGAAGAAGTTCACAAACAATGAAGTGGGCCACATGAACCACCCAAAAGCAAGTTAATCCCACCACCTTTGGGTAGCTCATAAGGCCTATTCCGTTCTCCATTAGTAATCTTTTTTTATATTATTGGATATATCTTGTTAAATTTTTTTTGAAGGTACTAGTAGTTGACACAACTAAAAGATTGATGTCTTCCCCCAAGTACAGGAGTGTCGAAGTAATAAATAACCCGGTAAGACTAGGGTCGAACCACAGGGAGGTTAATTGTACAAATTATAAATAACAATAATATAATAACAATAATAACAACAACAACAACAATAATAATAATTGTAATAACAATAATAGTAACAATAGTAATAGTAATAGTAATAAAGAAAAAGAAAGAGAAGAAGAAGATAAGAACTTTGAGATGGAATATTAATGTAATGATTAAACAATGATAATAGCAAATGTCAAGGTTAGAGGATCCACTAATGGTATGTCAAACAAGTATAGTATAAACTCTTATTATTGAATTGGAAACCACACACAAAGGAGGTTCCAATCAGATTATATATTATTAACATGATTACATTAGTCATCTTATTCAATTAAAGCTAATACTTGTAAATCTCGTCAAGCATTCATAATTATAACTTATGTTAACAACAAATCAAGTTCCTTTCATAGCTCAGGTGTCGGTTATACCATACATTATGGGCTATGAAAGTGCCAAGCATTTGTTGTACCAAGTGTTATACAACATAAATCAAGATTAATCATTTAACAAGCAAAGTATTAAAGAGTGAACAAGATAACAAATATAAAACATGTTAGTACCAAACATTAAAGTCCATATTAAGTTTACACTATACTTATTCTTACACCATTAGTGTAACCTTTTCACCTTGACATAACTAACTTAGCTAGACATAATGAAAGAAAGCAAAATAGATAAACAAAATAAGAACATAAAAGTTAACTAAGTAAAGGAAAGGAAATGAAAGGCATAAACTTAATATTAATGAAAACAAAGCATAAAAAATACAAAGAGAGAAAGGAAGAGAATGATCTTGATCTGGAAACCAAGATACCTAAATGCATGGCAAATGCCTCCTTTTATAGGCCAAAATTGGGAACTATTGATTTGATGACTAATTGATAAGTGGGTGGCCAACTTTTGACTTGGTGACAATCCTTATCTTCTCTTGTCTGCCCAAAACGTCATTGATAACGTCAAAACTGGAGCCAGTTGCAAACATGAAAGTTGTAGGCAATTGTCTCAGCTTTCTTGTGTAAAAAATTCAGCTCATTTGGACTTCTAGAACTCCAGATATGGCCAAAATACCGAACAGTGCTCGGGCTGGAAGACAGATTCGGGCTTCTTTGTTGTTGCTACAATTTGGACTTGATAATGGCCTTTTTAGATCTTGGGCTCCATATGAAAGTTGTAGGCCTATGTCTTACCTTTCCATCCATATAAATTGGACCTAAATCTGAGATATATAGCTCTAGATATGACCCAATTACCGAACAGTGTTCCAGTTTGGATTGCACCGACATCTCTTTTCTAAGTTTGGCCATCTCTTTATCCTTGCAATTTAAGTTCTTAAAGTCATCAATCAATCCTTTCATTTATGTGATAGACCTGCATTAAAAATAGACATTTACCACAAATTAAAGGTATCTTATATTATTAGATACATTATTATAAAACATATTTTAGTTAAGGAGTTATTGATACTTCAAGTGCAAAATGATGATATAAAACCATGATAAAAATGCACTTTTAAGTACTAATCACACCCCCCAACCAGCTTATTACTAGTCCCTAGTAATCAAAGCGTAAAATAGAAAAACAATTTGTATATTCCACAAAGCAAGGTATTCATCATTTAACTTCCATTAGTCTATCCAGATAAACAAACTCTCATTAAATTTATATATCTGCTCAATACCTCTTAACAAGATATTAATAAACCTTTCTTTTGTGCTCAATGTATCAACACATAATTATGGGGCTTTTCTTGGAAGAAAACAAAATTTTTGTTCTAATGTTTAAGGTTAACTTCCTTGGGTTGGGATTACTATTTTTGTCTTTTTTTTTTTTAACTCTATATACATATACTTTAAAAACATCATGCATCTTTAACCCATGTAACGAGCTTTCAGCTAATGACTCCCAGACCAGTTGGTCTTAGGGCATTAGGTGTTAAGACACCCCTACGAGCTTAGTAACTCGGGTCGCAGATACTGATATGTAGATAGTGCAATGTTTGATTCCCTTAAGCTTTTCTCCTCAACCCATGTAACAAGCGTTGGGCCAATAGCTCCCAAGTCAGTTGACTTTAGGGTATTAGGTGTTAAAACACCCCTTCGGACTTAATTGCTTAGGTTAGGGAGGCTACGAAACCAAACTTATCTACATTTTTATTATCATCATTTTTTTTTCTTCTTTTTTTTCTTTTTTTTTTCTTTCTTTTTTTTCATGTTTTTTTTTTAATTATATACAATCCCTTTCCCTTAGTTGTTACCTTTAACAAAAGAACATAAATAATGTAATAATCCAATATGCAACCCACAATCATATGTTAAAGTGTGTGTGTGTAAATTAAGGTTTAAGAATACATGTTAAATAAGTATATGAGCAGAATTAAGTGGTAACAATACGAGAGTTTGTAAACCTGAATATTTCAGGAAGTATTATAATAGACCTTGTTAAGAATGGTTACTAAGATGCGTCTCAAGAGTCACTTTAACAAAAGAACTCCTTTACTCTGCCATCCTAGTAACAACAATTATGCACATGCTTTATGAAATGAAAAACAATTTTTTTTTATCAACTACTACCCTCTCCCCCCAACCAAAACGAGACATTGTCCTCAATGTTCTAAGGTAGAAAGATAGAGTATAAAAGATATCACCTGAAATAACGAACACTGACAAAACCTGAAACACACTAAAACAAAAATAAGAAATAACAAAACACAATAATAAAACCAAAAGACACAAAAATTCACAAATGAAGGCTCAAATCCAATCTAAGCTTTTTACGGCTTCCCGTAGATGACCAATTTATGCGACTCATGGAAGGATCAATCACAGGAATGAAAGATTGTAGTTGGTCAATCAACTGTTCAGCAGTAGCAGCAGAGATTATGATTTGTCGTGCAGAAGATGTTAGAAATTCCTGTTCCACAGCATGATCAAGAAAAGACAACAACTTATCATAATAACCATTAACATTTAACAAACCTATGGGTTTATGGTGAATGTGCAATTGAGCCCAAGAGGAAATATGAAAGATCTCTTCCAATGTGCCTAGACCACCTGGTAAAGCAATGAAAGCATCAGCATGGTTAAACATTGCATTCATTCGAGCCGACATTGTGGAGACCTGAAGTTCCTCTCCAATTGTTTTT